CAGAGAGCTGGCCTGGAAGAGGGGCAACCGGGACAGAATCCAGCGCCCCGACCGGGACTAGAACCCGGTGTGCCGGCGCTGCAAGGTGGAAGATTAGCCTAGTGAGCCGCGGTGCTGGCCTCCACCTTGCTTTTAAGACCAGGATGTACAGTTCCCAGTCGGGTGGCTTTGGGGGCCTGGAACCAGGCTGCAGAGCACCCCTTGCTACACCAGATTGCAAGGTGTGCAGCTGGAAGCTCTGGAGAGAAAAAGCCGCCAGAAGAGAGCAGCTGGGGAAGCCACAGACCTGGGCCCCGGAAGCGCCTGAAGGGGGCACTGTGCCTTGGTTTCTTTTTGACCCCTCCGTGACGCTTAGGGACATAATAAGCTATGTCGATTCCATGCGTGGGTCACCCTTTATCAGCTCTATCACACTAATTGTTCTCTCTCTGCATCAGTTTCTGTACTTAAAAATGGGAAAAATAATAATATCCTGTCTCATTGTTACAAGGACTACATGGAATAATGTGTGTCCAATGCTAGGGGTAGGACCAAGGACACAGAAAGCATGTAACAAATATGAATGAAGTGTTGAAAAACAAGTTCAAAGGCAAAGCAGCAGAGACAGAGGCAGACAAGTAGAGCTCTTCCATCTGCCGGTAAAGTTCCCCAAATACCTGCAACAGCTGGGGCTGGGCCAGGAGGAAGCCAGGAGCCTGGAGCTCCATCTGGGTCTCCCACGTGGGTGGCAAGGATCCAAGCATGTGAGCCACCACCTGCTGCCTCCCAGGGTGTGCATGAGCAGGAAGTTGCAACCAGGGATGGAGCTGGGACTGAAACCCAGCACGCTGATATGAAATGCGAGTATCCCAAGTGGCATCTTTAGTGCTGAGCCAAACACCTGCCCTATTAGTGAGTTTTATTGCTGGTTACCCCAGATGATTTTCTAGCTGGAACTTAGAATCACAGAGTATCCAATGTCAACCAAAGTAAAATGAGGCCATTTGAAAATTCAGAGTTTATTCAACGTCAAGGTGAGGGCTGAAACCTGGGAGGGTGGCCTCAGAGTGATCCGAATGGCTGCTCCGAGCACTCGGGGCCACAGAAAAAGTTTACTGCTTTTTTCTCAAAGCTGAAGGTGCAGGAAGCCGGTTACACAGCAAGGCAGCGTCAGTGTGCCTCAAGCTGTCCTGGACGTGGGACATGTGGGACACTTGGCACACAGAGCCAGCCTTCGTCCTGATGCTCTTGCTTCCACTCTGTGGGTCTCCTCTAGGCTGGGATAGGGTTTGCTCAGTCATGGGGCGAGAGGCCGCTGGTGCAGGGGAAGCCTGGCCACACGGCCTCTTCCCAGCCAGGAACTCAGTCTGCTGACGCTTGGCCACGGCAGCTTTCGTTCGAGGCGAAACCACCATGGATTCTGTCCTTGGGTTCACACAAGTGTTGCACAGGGGTCTTAGTGAGCTCAGGCCTGGATTGAGGCCTCAGGAGAGGAGGGGATTGCCCAGGGACAGCTGTGTGGGGCAGGGTTTTGGGGAGGACCTTCCCCGATGTGCTGTCTGTGCAACCGAACAGTTGTCCACCTTCCTGCGTGGGCCCCCAAACTGCCCAACTCTCCAATTCTTAGTGGCCTGTCCCTAGCCTGCCAGAGATGGCCAGATCTGGGAAAGCTCCCAGAGGCACTGTTGATCGTCCCCTTCCTGCTGGCCAGAGGAAAGAAGCTAAGCAATGAGCACTCTAGGTTAGTGATCTCTGAGAGTAAGCAAGAACTTAGCTGAATGGAGAAAGCAGAGCTGATCCACAGCAATCGATACCAGCGGAGATGTCTGCTCCTCCAGAGAGCTCGGGGAAAATTCTAGTTGATTGACTCAGAGGAACGCCATCTTCAAGCACTTACAGATAACTGGAACTCTTTGGAACAAAAACTCAGAGTTGAGACAAGACAGTACCAGGAGTTGGAGAGGTAGTTGTATGGATTAAGAGACCAAGAACGAACCACTGCGGAGTTAGCAAATATTGTACAGTGATGTCAGGAGTGTAGTTGACATGGCAAAAAGCCATGGCAGTGAAATGGAAGCCAGACTGCAGAAAATCACCTGGCATGCAGAAGAAATGAAGCCGATTTGCAGTGGAGGTGAACTGCGGGACCCCCTGTCGAGCACAGGTGAGAGAGGTGCCGGTCAGCTGTGTAACTGTAGGCTACTTTTCTGAATCATGCTACTGGTATCTTGCACTGGTTCTTCCCATTTAAACTGCCAGGTTTTACGACCGGCACTGTGGTGTAGTGGGTACAGCAGCTGCCTGTGACATCGGCATCCCATATGAGTACTGGCTCGTGTCCGGGCTCCTCCACTTCCAATCCAGCTCCCTACTAATGGCCTGGGGAAAGCAGCGGAAGATGGTCCAAGTACTTGGGCTCCTGCCACCCATGTGGGAGACCCCAATGAAGCTCCTGGCTCCTGGCTTTGGCCTGGTCCAGCTCTGGCCATTGTGGCCATCTGGGGAGTGAACCAACGAATGGAAGATCTCTCTGTCTCTCCCTCCCTACATATGTAATTCTGCCTCTCAAATAAAGTATATCTTTAAGAAAAAATAAGTAACTTCCAGAGCCTGAGTCCTAAATCACGTTTTTTGCTTTATGATCTGGAACAAATGACTTCAGCGTTCAGCGCCTTATCTGTCAACTTATCCTAACAGTGGTACCTACCTTTAAGATTCTTGTGTGGGGGCTGGTGCTGTGGCATAGTGGGTAAAGCCACTGCCTGCAGTACCAGCATCCCATATGGGCTCCGGTTAGAGTCCTGGCTGCTACACTTCCCATCCAGCTCCCTGCTAATGCACCTGGGAAAAAGTGGAAAATGGCCCAAGTCCTTGGGCCCCTGCACCTGTATGGGAGACCTGGAAGAAGCTTCTGGCTCCAGGCTTCAGACTGGCCCAGCTCTGGCCATTGCAGCCAACTGGGGAGTAAACAACAGATGGAAGATCTTTGTGTGTGTGTTTGTGTGTGTGTGCCTAACTCTGTCTCTCTGCAACTCTCTGCCTTTCAAATAAATAAATAAATCTAAAAAATTTAAAAAAAGATTCCTGTGTGGCTTAAACAACTATGACCTGGAGTATACTGCTGGGCACAAATGTACAAATATTCCAGGTTATGTATTTTTTTTTATTTTTATTTTTTGACAGGCAGAGTGGACAGTGAGAGAGAGAGACAGAGAGAAAGGTCTTCCTTTTGCCGTTGGTTCACCCTCCAATGAAGGTTATGTATATTTGACATGCACATAAAGTTCAGGGTTCTCATTTTTCAAATGGCAATCATTGCTAATCAGTGTTTCCCAAGGCACGTTAAGCTTATCCTGATGGTCCAGTAAGTGAGCTTAGGTGGCACATGGAGAAGCATCTTCAATTGCAACACGTGTATATTTAACACATGTATATGTATCTATATGTACAACCCATCACAGCCATGTTGTCATGGGTATGATCACGGGGCAACAGAGCCACGTGTCCTGAAGGCAGAGAAAAGGTCAATTGAAAGTAGCAGTTGGCCAGCACCGCGGCTCACTAGGCTAATCCTCCACCTAGCGGTGCCGGCACACCAGGTTCTAGTCCTGGTCGGGGTGCCGGATTCTGTCCCGGTTGCCCCTCTTCCAGGCCAGCCCTCTGCTGTGGCCAGGGAGTGCAGTGGAGGATGGCCCAGGTGCTTGGGCCCTGCACCCCATGGGAGACCAGGAAAAGCACCTGGCTCCTGGCTCCTGCCATCGGATCAGCGCGGTACGCCGGCCACAGCGCGCCAGCCGTGGTGGCCATTGGAGGGTGAAGGGTGAACCAACGGCAAAAGGAAGACCTTTCTCTCTGTCTCTCTCTCTCACTGTCCACTCTGCCTGTCAAAAAAAAAAAAAAAAAAAAAAGGCAGCAGTCAGGAATAGCACAGGTGCTGAATGATCACAGCAAAATTCACGCTGGGGTGAGGGGATGGATGGCTGGAAGGAAGGCACCAGGGGCTGTGTCTGGATGGGGTTTACATGCTGGTGGCCTCATCCCCAAAGTGTGGCCAAGAGCTGCTGGAACCATGGCGAGGCAGGGCCTGGTGGGAGGTGGCCAGGTCATTGGCGGCAGCGCCTGGGGAGGGGTTAACTCTGGTCTTGAAGAGGAGGCTGTTCTAGAAAGCGCTCGCCTGGCTCCTCCCCATCTCTGGCTTCCTGTCTCCCGTGGGGTCTCTTCCACTCACCCTGCTGCCACTGTGAGCCATCTTGCCAGGAGGCCCTGACCACAGGCGGAACACTTGGGGTTGCCCCATCGTGCGCGCTCTGCTTCCAAAGCTGGGAGCTCGGTGAGCCCTTTATCTTCATAATACACCAGCCTTGGGCATTTTCTTCCGGCAACAGAAGACAGGGGGAGACACAGGGCTCTTGCTGGTGACTGAGAACCAGGAACCAGGACTCCACGTCCTGTCTCTGTGGCCTTAGTGTACTCTGGGTGCTGTGGATTACTTCATTATTATTTATGCTGCAATATAAATATTGACTGCTTTTGTACATTGCAGCGTTATTCACAGTCGCCAAAAAGCAGAACCAATCCCAGTGTGCATCAGTGAATGGACATTGCCATGCCATGTCCTGTGCTGCCCGGGACTCTGTCAGCAAGGCCATCCCTCCACGCCTTGAACTGTGAGCTAAACAAACCCCCCTTCCCATGAGAAGTTACCCAGCTGCGGGTCTCTCATCCGCGGGTGAGAGTGGACCCCTACAGGTGTCGAGGAGTAGGGCTGCTGCTGTGGCTGCGCCTGGAACTGGGGAGTGGGCAGAGGTTGGAAGAGTGTAGAGGAGGAGCAGAAGGGCTGGAATGCTGTGAGCAGGGCACCCCGAGAGACTCTGGGGAGGGCTAGAGGACTGGGGGCTGGGCAGCTAGTCTGAGATGGGAATGAGGGGCCTGTGGACAAGGCCGTCCCTGTCACACCGGGGCGAAGGACCTAGCTGCCTGCTTCCGTGCCGTGAGACTTCGTTGGAAGGCAAGGAGTTGGCCTTTTTTTAAAAAAATTTATTTTATTTATTTAAAAGGCAGGTTTACAGAGAGAGGTTGAGACAGATGGAGAAGAGACAGACAGACAGACTTCCATCTGCTGGTTCACTCCCCAAATGGTTGCAATGTTAGGAGCTGCACCGATCTGAAGCCAGGAGTCAGGAGCTTCCTTTGGGTCTCCCACATGGGTGCAGGGGCCTAAGCACTTGGGCCATCCTCTGCTGCTTTCCCAGGCACATAGGCAGGGAGCTGGATCGGACGTGGAGCAGCCGGAACTTGAACCGGTGTCCATAGGGGATGCCAGTGCCGCAGGCGGGGGCTTTAACCCACTGGTGCCACAGTGCCAACCCCAAGACTTTGGGCTTTCGGGTGACTGCTGGCAAGGGTTGAGGCTCTGGGATGCTGGGGAAGGAACTGCTGGGTCTTGCACTGTGAAAGGGACACGAGCCTTGGGGGCCAGGTGCGGGATGCCGTATTTTCAGTGTGTCGTCTGGGGTTCGTGTGTTGGTGTTCAGAGAGAGGAAACTTAATTCATTAAACTAAGGTGTTTGGAGGTCAGCCTTTGGGAGGCAAGTAGGATTACAGATCATTAGGATGGAGCTCCCCCATTGAATCCAGGTGCTTTTTTAAGAAAAGGGAGAGAGGCCAGAAGAGACACACTATACCCACGTGTGTTCCTGTCTCTCGCCATGTGATGACCTGTGCCAGTGCAGGAAGGGCATCACTGGAGGTGGACCCTGGCGCCTCCTGTCCAGCTGCAGGAATTTCATTGCAGCGTTGAGAAATGGACCAGATAATGCAAGGAAGCTACTGCCTGATGGTGCGGGTTCAGCTCTGCAGAGGGTGGCGGTGCTGGTCGTGCAACACTGTGAACGCACTGAATGCCGCTGCACTGTGCACTTAGCGTGGAAGTTTTATGATGTTAAGAAAAAAAAGCAAAACGTGCACAGAGCGGCTGATCCTCTACCTTGTAGGGCTTTGTGGAGACGCCATTGTTTATGCAGTGTGTGAAACAGCTCCGTTACCCAAGCCACTGCCTCTGTGCCCAGCCCGCAGAAACTCGGGCACTGGGAACATGTTCACTCTAAGGCACCCTGTGCATCCCTTCCCTGACTTCTGCCCTAGCCTCCCCAGAACCCTGTCTTGACTGCGGGAGGTGCAGGGCCTGTTTCTCAGGCCACCCCAGCTAAACCAGTTGCCCTGCGGTTCTTGGAACATTCTGGAACCAGGTCGGCCCCTTGGGGAGGACTGGTTCTGTGCAGCTGAACACAAGCACAGAGCTTTCAGTGTTGGGGGAGCGGGCCTGTCCTCCCGAAGCGAAGACAGACTTTTATTTGGAAGACTCTGCGAGGAGTTTAGGAGCTGCTGTTGAAGCGGTTGGGGCCGAAGTTCTCCCAGACTTGGGAGCTGCCTTGGTGCCAGGCGGGCCAAGGTGCCTTGCTGGGCTCTGCACTTCTCAGCTCCCTGCTTTTGCCTCTGATGGTTTTTCGCCTTTGTCCAGGCTCAAGGGCATCCGCAGGACCTGCGCTTTCCCGATGTACTCTGGGGGAGGGGAGAGACAGCAGGCAGGGGAGGACGAGGAGGGCGAGAGCTGCCCAGGAGCCCTGGTAGACCCCTTCCCCAGGGCATGTGGGAGAGCCGCTGGGAGGCCCGAGGCAAGCCCAGTGTCCAGTCTCAGCTCTGCTGGGGACCTGGGATGAGCCAATTCTCTCCGCTGAGCCTCATCGTCCTCCTGGCTTCGGCATCCAGGAACAAGCGTCCCTGAAGTGCCCCCTCCAGGCCGGGCACTCAGAACCCCTCACCGTCTGATGGTGGAGAACGAGCTCCCTCGAGGACACCTGTCCTCCTCCCTCTCCTCCTGCCCCACCCTGCCTCTGGTCTGAAGCACCGGGAAGGCTGCCGTGGACTCCTCTCTGGTCCCCCTCACCCCTTCTTGCCCCACACCACCCCACCCATGCTCACAGAGCAGCCAGAGGGGGTACCCACCCCCACTGATAACCCCCAGGCACTTGCTGCACGAGACCACACACCTGGTCCCTCCTGCAGGCCGGCCCTGCACGCCTGCCTTGTTGCATCTCTTATCACCTGTCTCTCAGCCTGCTTGCTGTCCGCCCACACATCACGCGGGTGGGAGCTCTGCTTGCAGGCCCTTCCCAGGTCTGCCTGGGCCTGGAGCCTTCCTGTCACGCAGCTCCAGGAGCTGTCCCCACAGCCCACTGGTCCTTCTCGAATCTACCACCCACTCCCCTGGGATTTGCACACAGCGTTCCCACCCCACCGCCACACACACAGGTGCTGTTACTGTTGTCTGTGCGCCTCCTCACTAGGACATATGCTCGGTGACAGCAGGGCCTCGGACCCTGCCCCCAGGACCGCAGGGCCCACTGTTGGATGACTGAGTGAGTACGTGGAACGAGCAGCCTCTGTGGGCAGGGGCCCATCGCCAAGCTGCTGGGGAATCAAGCCGGAGCGGGCTTTGGTGAGCCCGCAGAACGAGCCCCCGTGTGGAATCTTACCTGGCTTTTCGCTTTTGGGTAGAGGTGGGGTCTTCATTTTCTTCGGGGATTGACTGTAACCAAACAGAGAGCAGAGGCCAGGAGAGTCAGGCTGGAAAGCCACTGCCGTAGGGACTGCGTGGCGGGAGGTGGGGAGGCCAGGACGGTGGTGCAGGTGCAGACAGCTTTCCGCTCTGGCCAGAGGCAAGAGGTCCTCCCCTGGACCACCGGATCACCACTGACTGTGGCTAGACCCACGTGGCCTTGCTGCATCCCCCCAGCAGGACCCAGGCTACAGACTCCACTGCCTGCTGTCCCCCCGCGAAGCGAGGCACCTCCTGCCCCTGGAGCTGCAAGGCACCCCTAGCCCCAGCTGTGCCCCAGTCCCTCGCTCACTACACATAGTGCGGGAGACCACGCCCACCCCCTCCCCACTGGCATAGGCGGTGCTCCCCGGTCTCGGATCCAGGCTTTATACTTTGCCAATCCCTTTCGCACCCTGATGCCATCCTCCCTCCCTACACCTCTAGGAAGGGGCTTTTGAGAGATGGTAAAACTGTGGCTTGCCCAAGGTCACAGGGATGTCTGCTTTGTTCTCTGTGCCGTTCCTCCTCTGGTCACTCAGGGCGGCAGAGAAAGGCAAGTGCAAGGCCAGAGCAAGACCTGTGCCTTCAGCAAACCTAAGCCCTCCTCCCTGACTCCCACCTGCCCCTTCTCACCAAGCCTGCCCACTGCCCACTGCCCCAGCCACCCCAGACTTCACACTCCCTGGAGTGTGAGCCTTCCTGTCTGCCCCACCCTTGTCCCACTGCCTGGCATGGCCTTTTCCCACCTCCACATTTGCTTATTCAAATCCCATCCATCGGTGCAGTGCCCTGCAAGCTGCCCCAAGTCCCGGATAACTGCTGACAACACAGAGCCCCTGCCTTCCCTGCCACCTGCAGAGCTGGGCTCTCAGGAACCTGAATTTCTGGCAGGCTCCCCTGGTGAGCAGCCAGGAGACTCCGGGCAATCATTCCTGAACCTGAACTTCCTCCTCTGTAAGGCAGAGGTGGTACAGCCCCCGTGGGTCGTCACAAGGACCAGAAATCTGGAAAGCACCCGGCGGTCAGGCGTCAGGCAACCAGCGAGCACTCCGTGTCTCCGCTTACGGCTGCCTTGCAGGCTCCCCTTGCCCAGTTAGCCATGCATCTCTTTCTCCTCCAGCCTCCTAGGACACGGTGCTAGCGGGACTGTCCTTTAGCCAGCCTCACGTGGCTTTTCTTCTCTACCTGTGTCTTCCCGTCTGCCAGGGGCTTCTCTGATAGGGTTTATGCAGCAGTCTTGTTCCAATTGACATGGGTGACCCTCTTGGGCACCCCACCACAGGCAGCCAGAGTCTGCCCTGGCAGTGTGGGCCCCTGGACAGCATGCGTAGAATTGGAGGGTCCCTGGGCCAATGCCGGGCTCCTTCCTCTGGGCCCTGCTGGCCTCGCCTGGGCAGACAGGTGACTGCAGGTGAGGGCGTGGTCCTGGGAAGAGAAGGGCAGGCAGAGGTGCGGGCCCACCTGGAAGCTGGCTGCGGCTTCTCTTGTGGTGGTGGTTCTTGGACTTCTTGGAGCTGGTGCAGGAGCTTTTCTGCTGGGATGGAGACCAGAGGCTGAGGGAGGAGCTGAGCCACCGCTGTCTGTAGGAGTCCTAGAGCCAGGTCTTTCTCTGAAAGCAGAGCCCCGGGCGGAGTTCTCAGCAGCCTTCTTGCTGCCCCTAAGTGGGCGCTTGCCCAAGCCAGGCCAAGGGCAGCTTTCTCTAAGCGTCCCATATGCTGCCTCAGGCCCTGTGGGGAGGGCCCCATGTGCAGAGCCCCCCGCCTGACATTCCTGCTGTTGCACATGCACACGTGTGCCTTGCTCTTTGCCCCATCCTGCCCACCACACCCCCTGGCCCTCTCTGAGAAGTCTGCTGGGGACGGCCCCCGCCCCCTGCCCCACTCTCCTGTCTGAGAAGCCTTCTCCAATCAGCTTCCTGGCTCACATCACTCCTCCCCCTCCCACTCAATCCACTCACTGTCCCCAAGTGCACCTGCCTGTGTGTTTGTGTGCATCCAGGTGTGTGTTAGCACCCATGTGTATTTGTGCATTTCCCACTATGGTGTGAGAGGGGCTGTGTCTGCCAGGCATGATCTCTGGATTTCTCCCTCCTGGGTGGCAGGGCTTGGGGCCAGTATGGAGGAGGGGTCCCCTCCAAGGAGCAGGACAGGAACCGTGGAAGAGGAAGCAGGGATGTTGTCCTGCTGGAAAGGGTTCCTTTGGGGCTCCCCAAAAGAGAGGCCCAGGCCGAAGGCTTTGGATTGGGAACTGAGTGGTGTGTGAGTCCCACAGAGTTGCGGAACAAGGGCAGGATGTTGGCAGCCTCTGTGCAGAGAGGAGGCCTCATGGCTGTGTTCTCACCCTTGGGGGGAGCGTAGAGTAGCCAGAACTGGATGGCGCTCAGCGAGTCTGTCTGCAGGATCTGACAAAGGAGCTCCAGGACCTACCGACCGAAGGACAGAGGACAGGCCCTGGTCAGTGGGGCCGGATAGCGTGCTCCAGCCAGGAGCAAAGGCCTACATGGGTTCCAGGGGCACTAAGGGGCCCCCTTCCAGAAGTGGGCTCCCATAGTCATAGGCTTGGCTAAACCGGTTCCCCCCACAGGGCCCCTTCCTCCCCTGTGCCTGGGGTTTTGCACTGGACAGAGGGCTTTGTTTCACAGCAGTCCTGGGGGAGGATTCTGCACCCCTCACTGGACAGGGAAGAATCTGGCTTTGAGCAGGGACCCCTAGCAGGGAGTTTGTGGCGGAGCCAAGCCTCGGACACCACATGGGTGGGCCCCCGCCCCTGGGGCTGCTTGGGCTGGCTGTCCCCCAGGGTCCCTCAGTGGGAAAGTGGTCAGAGCTGGCCAGCAACCCCCCCACTGCCCCCAGACACGCACCGAGTCCCATGTGGCTGGGTCCTTGTTGTGGGGATCTCAGGACCCCCTCAGGCCTCCCCACCCTGGAGCTCCCAGAGTCTGGCGCTGTTAGTGGGGAGGTGGGGCTGCCCCATTGGGCAGCCTGGGGCTCAGGGTGGGCTGCTGCCGCTGCCAGATGCCCGGCGTGGGATTCCCTCCTGGCCGCATCCTCTTCCTCCTGTGGCGTCTTTGCTACTTCAGGGCTCAACTTCCCCTGTGCTCTCCAGCCAAGTAGCATCAGGAAAAGGTCCAGTTCCGGCTCGGATGGGCTATGGGGGCTCCCTAGGCCAGCCTTCTTAGGGTGTCTGGGGCTTCGGCGGGTGGGGCTCGGGGCCCATGGAGGGAGGTGGAGCCCCTGGAGTCCTGGGAGGGGCAGGGTCCCCTCAGCCTTCGATGTCAGTCCCCCACCCTGGGGTGCAGAGGGGCCTGGCTAGCCCCGGCAGGGATCATCGTCCTTGGCAGAACTGGGACTGGGCCTGGCGTCTCCCCAGACCTATGCCCCCCTTGGTGCCCACCCTCACGCCCAGGCGCCTCCTCTCCCCTCTCCCCTGCTGTGGGGCCCACCCTGATCTGCCCCGGGCCCTTCTCCAGCCCCCACCTCCAACTTACCTGCCCTGTGCCCCCTCCCCACGGGACCTGAGAACCTAATTCCTGGCGAGGCGAGGTCGCGCTATGGTGGAGAAAGCGCTGAGTCCCGCCGGGCTGTGCCCTTCTTTCCCTGGGGGGCCTGGGCCTCCCATCTGCAGAAGGAGGACCCGCCCTTGTCTGCTCTGCTCACTGGAAAGAGCGCAAACGCCTGAAGCATGGGTCCCCGGGAGGTGGCGAGGGGCTGCCTTCTCTGGAGGGATCCGCATTTTAACAGGGACCACCCCCCATAGCTCCAGCCTGCGGGAGCGAGGCATGGGCTCGTCTCAGACCTGGGTGGGGACACCTGAGCATGGAGGAGGCGGGCTCTGTGCTGTGCTGTGCGAAGCACAGGCCAAACCCCTGTAGGAGCGCAGGAGGCCTGGCTGGGGCTAGGCTTGCAGGCTGCAGGGTTTGGGAGCACCCGAGACAGAACCTTGACCTTGCTGCTTCTCAGCCCATCCCTGCAGCTTCCTATATTAATGCCTGCAATGCCAGAAGGACTTTTGATGGTAATGTGTGCGAGCGCCCAGTGTGGACGGAACACGGAACTAAGGCCCAGAGCTGGGCAAGAGTCACCCCGACGTGGGCTGGGGTTTGCAGTCCCCAGGAGCAGCCATCCCCCACGAGCTGGGAGTCTGGGAGTGGCAACCGCTCTAGCCTCTGCTCACCAGCAGATCCTGATCCTGCAGGAGGAAGCCTTGCACTCCTCCATCTCTGCCCGCGCGGTGGCTCCGCTGGCGGGAGCTGCGGCGGCCAACAGCTTGGGCGGAAGCCGGGATGAGCCTACCCGTCTCGGCCGAGTACTTTGCCCCCTGCTCCCGCAGAGGCTCTTCCTTCTGCTGGGACACAAGTGCACAGAGACTCCAGGCAGCAAGCGGAGGGGGGGGGGGGCAAGGCAGAGGGTGAGGAGGAGGTTGGGTCTCAGGTGCGGGGCATCCCCGAATCCAGCACCACAGCTGTGTCGCAGGCCTCCCCCACCTCGTGCTAAGCTCTTACTTTGGCATCCCTGGCCGGCCTCCCCACCCCCTCACGGTAGCAAGCCCACTAGAAGCAGCTTCAACTGCCAACAGGCTCTTCCTCCTGGAACGCTGCCCCACGATGCTCCCATACAGGAGCTCCCAGCCCATCAGAGATTTAAAACCACACCCCGAGCCAAGGCCCCACATCTGCCTAGCTCAGCAGCCCCAGGTCTTCCTACTTCAGCCCTGTGTCTTGTCTCTGCCCTGAGAAGCCAGGCCTTTGAGCACAAGGCTTGGAGCCTCCTGCTCTTGGGATTCCAGTTAAGACTGCCAGTGTCCTTCTCCCCATTTTAAAGACAGGAAGATTGAGACTCAGCGTGGCAGAGTGCCACAGTGAGTGAGCTGCAAGCAGGCCTGGGAGCCCGGCCTCTGCCTCGCCACTGAATGCCCAGGCCCAGGAGCAGAGACTCCGCGGCAAAGGGCCAGACCTGTCCTTGCACCAGTTGCAAGCCTCCCAGTTATCTTGACTGTTTGACCACGTGGGCCAGGCCCAGTCCCCATCCTGGGTGAAAACCTGGAGGGGTTCTCCACTCCTTATGAGATTAGACTCTTGGCTAAGCCGGGGAATCAGAAACAGGTGGCTCCTCCCTGTATGCAAAGCCAGCCCCCTGCTGCCTTCTCCCTGGCTGCTGCCGTCTGTACCCCCGGGCCCCACAGACACCCCGTGTTTGCGGCTGCTCGTCCACCTGCAGACACCCCCCTGAGCTGTTGGATATCTCCCCCCTCGCCAGCCTGCGTCACGTCTCCCCTGGACCCTTCTGGGTTCCTCCACCTACACGGGCACCCTCCCCGCTCTGCACCCACGCTGTCACCCTCCTCCAGGTGTTCCTACTCGTCGGCCCCCTCCTCCCCAGGGCCAACAGCAGGCCTTGCAAGGAGCTGGCGTGGGAGGAGTTTGGCGAGAAAGGGAGGGAGGGGCCCTGCCTCTCTCCCCGAGGGGAGGGGCTCCCTTGAGGAGTGCCTACCTCTTGGGTCTTCAGCTCATTCTCCTTGGTGAAGGTGGCCACCCGGGAAGACAGCTCCTTGAGTTCCCTCTTCCAGGCCTCTGGGAGGAGGGGACAAGATCCTGCCAACAGGGACCTGGGGCCCTGCCTCCCCTGCCTGGGATGCCAGGCCTGGGAGGGCCAGGAGGGCCTGGGGCAGGGCAGCCTCCTGTCCTTCCTGGCCCGCTGGGGTCTTCAAGGGAAAGGGGGAAGGGTGCGCTTGGGTGGGGAAGGATTGGGAATCATGTGACTTCCCTTCTCGAGGCACTGAGCTGATGCCCTGCCGGTGGCATCACCGCGAGACACTGGCACACACCCAGCTGCCTGTGCCGAGGTGCGGGTGGCTTTCTCTAGCTTTGCCCCTCATGGATACCTGAAGTCAGGACTGAGATCCAAGTGCTAAGCCCACACGAGTCATCAAGATATTGACTTGCTCCCTGGAGAGGCTGGTGAAGGGCCCTGGAGCTGGCCTTCCAGTCTCTCTGCCCTGCACGGGCTGCCCCGCCCCTTCCCTGGCATCTCTCTGGCCCCGTGACAGAGAGGTAAGGCCTCCAGCAGGCCGCATCAGCCCCTGGCTGGCTGTTGGATTGGCCAGCGCCTGAGCACATGACTTAGCTGAACACACAAATCTCATTTCCGCCCAGCTATAAGTCACACGACTCTAGCTTGCTATTGCCCCATGCACCTGCAGTCCCAGCAGGGGTACGTTTTTGTGGAATGGGACCCGGGGACAGGGGTGGGGAGTCATGTGGGGCTGAACTGCCCGAGGAACTACCTCACTGCTGCGTAATGGCCTTTCCCTGCTCAGGGCTCCCAGCACCTGCCAGGTGGGCCAGGCCTGGGGAGGAGGGGTGAGTCCCATGGTGGAGCCCCAGTACCCACCAGAAGGAAGCTGAGGGTTCCGGTTGGACTGGGGGTCTCCGATGGGGCTGGAGATGGTGGGCATCCCCATCAGACAGCGAGACAAGGGTGTGGACTCAGGCAAGGGTGCCATAGAGAACTCGTCCCTGACGACACAGACGGGCTTCCCGGTTAGATCTGCAAAGGGTTACAGGCTGTAGGATGGGAGGCGTGGGGGCGCCCGGGAGCTCTGGGCAAGGCTGCGAGCCAGGCAGCCCAGAGGTGAGGGCACAGAGTCTGGGTGACTGTTAGGTTATTCCTGATGGTTCACCCTCAAGGACAAGGCGACTCGGTGCTTCCTGAGCTGCCTGCCTGCGGGACTCAGGACTGTACTCTGTCGGCCCCTCCCCACTCAGTGGCCTCTGCTCTTCTCTTCATCTTGGGATCCGCGGGCCCAGGCCCCGGGGCTTCTCTCCTGAGCCCATCCAGGCACACCAGGTGAAATGCCATTGCTCTTCAAGGGGCTCTCACATCTGTACACAGGACTTCCAAAAGGTCACGGGAAATGGAATGAAAGGCACGCTTTCAAGGGACAGCTTTGTGGCGTTTGCTATGCTGGCTTCCGGTTTTGGAGCACCAGCTTCAGTCCTGGCTGCTCCGCTTCTGATGCAGCTTCCTGTTAATGCATCTGGACGGGCAGTGCATGATGGCTCAAATGTTTGGTCCCCTGCCGTCCATGTGGGCCATTTGGATGGCGTTTCTGGCTTCTGGCGTCATGACGCCTGGCCCTGCCCTAGCTGTAACAGCCACTGGGGAGTGAATCAGTAGCTGGATGCTCTCTCTGTATTTCTCTTTCACCTTCTCTCTGATTCTCTGCCTTTCGAGTGAATCCTTTTTTTTAAAAAAAAGTATGAGTTTCTTTGGATGCAAATTTTTAAACAAATTCATGCAAGTTTTTTTTAATAATATGCATTTTAGGAAAAAAATTTGGGGGCCGAAATGAACTCAAACTTTTTTTTAAAACTTACTTTTTTATTTGAGAGGCACTGAGAGAGAGTGAACTTCCATCCCCTGGCTCACTCCCCAAATGCCTACAACAGCTGGTGTTGGGCCGGGCTGAAACTGAGAGCTGAGAATTCAGTGCAGGTCCCCCACGTGGGAGACAGGGACCCGAAGACTTGGCCGTCACTGCTGCCCCTCAGGGTGTGCACTGGAGGAAGCTGGAATCAGGGGCTGGGACTGGAAATCGAACTCAGCCACTTTGACGTAGGAGGCAGCAACTTGCCCAGGAGGCTAAATGCCTGCCCCAACTCATGCCTTGAATTCACGAACTTCTAGAAGCCCACTCTTATCTCTCTCCCAGATCTAGCACCTCTAGAGGCAGCTCACACTCATACCAAACCCCTGGCGCTCCGTTCCACCCCACCCCGCCTGGCCCCGGGTGGTCCAGCAGATGGAGTGGCCTGGGTTCAAGGACGGAGCAGAGCTGATGTGTAAGGTGGCAGGACCTGGCAGTGAGGGAATTCCCATGGGGCGGCAGTGCTCTGCCCTCGCAGCCCGTGCTTCTGTTCTCACCCGGCCACTGAGCTGCCCTGGGATTTGGCCAGGCCCCATACTCAGTGGCCTCCTCCTGGAAAGAGGGGCTGGGCCCCGTATTCCTTCCCAGTCCGCAGACCAACCCCCACGCCCAGCCCCCATCCAGCCCCCAGGGCGGGCTGTCCCTACCTTGGATGTGGGTCACGTGCTGAGGGTGAGGGTGGTGCCGGGAGAAGAAGGAGTGGTGGCTGAGGCGGCCAAAGCGGTAGGAGCCAGGGGTTTGGGGCTTGGGGGTCGTCACCGTCTCCGGGATCAGCTCAAAATCCACGACTCCTGGGATCACCAGCTCTCTCTGTGGCCCTCCGTCCCCCTGGCTCCGTGGCCTGTGGCCTGGCTTCTTCTCGGCTTTCAGCTCAGCCTTTGGACTGAAGGAGAGGGTTTGAGAGAGGGGCGTGGAGCTTCCGCTGGCTGCCGTGCGCGCCTGGGTCAGAGCTCCATGCTTCTTCCACAGCCCATTCTGCCGACCCTGAAATCCGACTTCTGGATTTCACCACGAGCTCCAAGGTGCCCAAAGCTGGGCCCTCCCCAAACCCCTTCCGAGGGGCTGCAGCACGCCAGCCCCTGCGAGCCTCAGTCTTCCTGGACAGGGAGCTGGGATCCACAGCGGGAACTCGGGTGGAATAACCGGGGCCCCTGGTTGCTCCCACAGACCAAATCTAAAAGCAAAAACAGAAGCCCACACCTACCTTCCCCTCTGAACACCTGGGATGGAGCAAAACCCCCTTAAATAGGGCCTCTGGGGGCAAGCGGCTGGCCCCAGTGAGGGCTTCCCCAAGCCAAACTGTTGGCAGCCCTGTAGAAGCCAGCTGTGGGCCGTCACCCTGCTGTGCACCCCCATGCCCAGCCTCCAGAGCCAGAGCCAAAGCCAAGGCTGACAGGTCCTTCCCCCACCAGGTCCCCCCAGGAGAGGCCACAGGGAAGCATCAAGCTCTCGTTGGGCTTCGCTGGAGACTGCTTGTCTCTGGCATTCTGTCCCCCCCCCCCACCCTCCCCAACACACCCTGCCCCTGTCCTGGGACATTGCCCCTGGAGGACGTGGAGGAGGCCAGTCAGGCCCAGCAGGGACGCTGTAGTGGGCTGCTCGGGCGGGGCCTGGTGGGAGCACCTGCCTGATGGCTGTCTGCACTCCCTGCTGGCGGCCCTGGCTGGAGGGTGTCCCTCTGCAGGAGTACAGATGGACTCTGGATATGCTAAGCAGCGCTCGCTGCCCCTGGGCCCTCTGGGGACTCCGCTGGCCCGGCCCCTGGGTTTCCTGTTCCAGTCTCGATTCGTCTCTAGAGAGTCTGGGACTTAAAGAAATAAAATCTGAAAATCGCAGTCAGTTGGCTCCCTCTGCCCCCAGCTAACAGAGGAAATCCCTTGCAGAGAAACCCCAGCGTGCCTGTGCGCTGAGCTCCTGCCGCCTGCCCACCCCTGCTCTCCCCAGCCCTGGAGGGGCCCTGCCGTAACCTCAGCTAACACGGGCCTGGGCTGGCGGGGAAGGGCGAGGAAGAGCTGCCTGTGTCGGGGCCCCAGGCTACCCAGCTCCCCCAAGGCCGCCCTGGTCTTCTGCCCCTCCCCACCACCCGCCACCCTCAGTCGGCAGAGGAGCTTCCGAGGGCCTCACCTCGGCAGTGGGTGTTCAGCCAGCTGAGCCGTCACTTCCGTAGCCATTGCAGAGTTCCTGACGCTGTGCAGGCCAGTGCCCCTGGCACCAGCGTTGAGGATGCAGAACAGGAAGTTTCGAGGACTGATGGGGGCGCGTATGAACTGGAGCAGACGCTTTGCGGGAACAAAGGGCAGCAGCTTGGGAACTGAACATTTGCACGCTGTACCGCCAGCAACGTCTCTCCCAGATGTGAGAGAAGCTTGCCGATGTACATAGGGGGTGTTTTAAAGACTACTCCTACTGACGTTGCACAAATGCAGCAAACACCTGGTACAAACCAAATGTCCATTGGCAAAAGAAAAAGTGCATAAGCTGTGGTGCCTTCAGACAGGGGGGATTCTTTATTGCTATGGAAACACAGCGACACAGGTGAATCCTGTAAACACATGTCAAGTCAAGGAGGGCCATTTCCAGAGAACTGAAGAGCCTCAGACCCTTTTTGAAAATAAAACTTCAGGGGTCGGCGTTGTGGGGCAGCAGGTTAAGCTGCTACCTCTGATGCCAAAGCACCAGTTCAAGTTCCCTGCTGCTCTGTTTCCCATCCAGCTAATACACCTGGGAAGGCAGCGGAAGATGGCCCAAGTACTTGGGCATTTGGGCCCCTGCCACCCATGTGAGAGATCTGGATGGAGCGCCTGGCTTCAGTCTGACCCAGTCCTGGCTGTTGCAGTCATTTGAACCAGTGGATGGCCGATTTTTCTCTTCCTCTCTGTCACTCTGCCTTTCAAATAAACAAAGTAAATCTTCAAAAAATAAATAAAAATACAAGCTCAAAAGCAAGCAAACAAAAAATCATAAATATGTGATAACAGCAACAAAATGGAAGGGGGTGCAAAATCTTTCGGTGGGGGGCAGGGGAGAGGGCAGCCAAAGAGGGTAGGGAGGTACCTGAGTGGCAGCATTCTAGTTGTTGGCTTAGGGGTGCGTTCACCAGGGCTGTTCATAGAATTGAATAAATTAATTAAAAAGATGAGAGATGGCGGGTGTGAAACCCAAGCACTGCAGAGCAGGCACTGGAAACAGTGTGTGTGCTCGGGCTGCTCGTGCCCCACGGCTGAGCTCGAGCCACCGCTCCGCTCCTGAGTCCAGCTTCCTGCCGATTGCCAGGTGGGAGACCCAGATGGAGTTCCTGGTTTCTGGCTGCAGCTGGGTTCATCCCTGCTATTATTGGAATTTAGGGGAATGAACCAGTGGATGGGTTTTCTGCCTTTCAAATATAATAAATAAAAATTTAAAAAGCCAAACAAATCAGGAATTGTGGTCCATCTACATCTACGTAACCAAAGCGTTAGGGATGGGGTTGGGATAGGAAATGGGTGCATTCTGAGAATTAACCCCCAGAGTCCCAGAACCTGCATGGGAGCTCACGATGCCCCTCCTTCAAGTGCCGGCCACTGTCAGGTTGGGGTGGGGTGAGTCCCCTTTGTCTGAGACCATGGAAGAGGAGATGTCTGCTGAGTGACACAGCCAGGGACGGGAGCCCCGGCACTCTGACCTACAGGCCTCTCATGTTTCCTCTAAAAGCAATCAACAGAGCTGCCTTCTCAGCAAGCCTGGGACAGCCTGTAGGACAGGGCTGGGTGCTAGGGTGTGTGATGCTGCGAACTTCCGGGCAGGGCATTTGCAAGCCCCAGACCCACCCGCCCACAGGAAAAGGGTCCTTACAGAATCGGGACTTTCAAATACTTTTGACTGTGACCATGGAAGAAATCCAGTTTTCCATCACAACCCAGTTCACACGTGTGTGTGTGTGTGTGTGCACCTGCACGTAAGCGTGATGCTGAAATAGCATCCTGAAGCAGTACTCACCCGTGCTCCATGGGAGACACACTGGCACTCAGAATGATCTAATAAGTCAGCCGTGAGTCAGAACCCACAGCTGCTGTGTAGAGGTCGACAAGCACTCTAATAGGCCAGGCCTGCCCCTTCCCCAGCGCAGGACAGATGGGATCCACTGTGGTCTGCCCCTGTCCCGCCCAGCCTCCGTCCCTGGGCCACCAGCCAGCCAGGCACAGGGGCTCCAAAGGCTCCCAGCACAGAACTGCGCCTCCCATAGCCACCTGTCTGGGCCCTCTGCCGGGGCCTGACCTGGCTCTGGCCTCTGTTCCCTCCCGAGAGACCCCTGGACTCACCAAGGAAGGTGCCAGCTATGGCTTGTGGGTGAGGAGCACCTGCTGCCAGAGCAGGAATGGGCAAGAGGGCAAACAGGGGGAAGGCTCGTGGGCTCTGTGGCAAGTCTGGCCGCTTTGTGACCACGCTGAGCCTGCTGGTTGCTAGGTTACTCCTCCCCACAGCTGCACAACTGTTCCCCAGCACCCCTCTCCCTCACCCCCTGCACAGAGGGCAGGCAGGACTCCCTCCAAGGCCCCGCTCTGGCTCCCCAGCAGCTCTTGCAGTGGGAACGAGGCAGGGGAAGGAGAGTGTGGGGCTGGCCTCTGGCGGCGAGCAGCAGGCAGATGGAGAGAGCTGGCCGCTGGTGTAGCTCAGGCTGGAGCCCTGCTTGGTGTACAGAGATCTGCCTCTGTGCACCCTGTGCCTGGGGGTGAATCCTCAGAGGCTGGCTCCCAGACACGGGGCGGCCGCCTGTGACCCAGAGCGGCTCTCGGCAGGGCACGAAGACTCTGGGTTTTCAATTAGGCAAGGAGTTCTCGCCAGACTCTGATACCTTCTAGAAGCTGTCACCTTGGTGAATTGCCTGGACTGCTGGAGATGCAGAATAGTCGTAAGAATCCTTCGTTCAAATCCCTGCTCTACTTCCTCGCTGTGTGGCCTCAGACAACTCACCTGATGTCTCTGGGCCTCAGTTCCCATATCTTTGAACTGGAGATTATACTTGCTCTTCTTTTCACAGGGTCATGGGGAATATTAGATGAAAGAATACGTATCACGGTGTTCAGAATCATGCCTGGCACCGAGCGTGATCACTTCCTGGTATCACCCCCTATGGGGGCTGGCACTGTGGAACACTGGCTTAAGCTGCTGCCTGCAGTACCAGCAGCGCACATGGGAGCACCAGTTTGGGTCCCAGCCTCTCCACTTCTGAGCCGGCTCCTTTCTGATGTGCCTGAGAAAGCAGCAAGCCATGACCCAAATCTTTGGGCCCCTGCCACCCACGAGGGAGACATGGGTGGGGTTCTCAGCTCTTGGCTTCTACCTCGTTTAGCCCCAGCTGTTGTGGGCACCTGGAGAGTTGTGGACCAGTGGGTGGAAAATATCTCTCTCTGTCTCTATCTCTTCTTATCTCTGTCATTCTGTCCTTCAGGTGAATAAATAAATTTTAAAAGTAAGATTTAAAAAGTCTGCAAGGTATTCAGATTGAAATAGTTATTCTGGATTTCAGAAACAAGCTTTAGAAAAGAGAAACAGCTGAGGTCAGCTTTGAGGTGCGGCGGGTTAAGCCACCACCCACGATGTCGGCATCCCATATGGGTACTGGTTTGAGTCCCCGCTGCTCCATTTCTGATCCAGCTCCCTGCTAGTGCACCTGGGAAAGCAGTGGAAGATGGTCCAAGTCCTTGGGCCCCTGTCACCTGCATGAGAGACTTGAATGGAGTTCCTGGCTCCTAGCTTCAGCTTGGCCCAGTCCCGGCTGTTCTGGCCATTTGGGAAGTGAACCAGTGAATGGAAGATTCTCTCTCTCTCTCTCTCTCTGCCTCTCAAATAAATAAAAATTACCTCTTCTAGCCGGCACCATGGCTCAATAGGCCAATCCTCCACCTAGCGGCGCCGGCACACCGGGTTCTAGTCCTGGTTGGGGCGCCGGATTCTGTCCTGGTTGCCCCTCTTCCAGGCCAGCTCTCTGCTATGGCCAGGGAGTGCAGTGGAGGATGGGCCACGTGCTTGGGCCCTGCACCCCATGGGAGACCAGGATAAGCACCTGGCTCCTGCCTTCGGATCAGCGCGGTGCGCCGGCCGCAGCGCGCCTGCAGCAGCGGCCATTGGAGGCTGAACCAACGGCAAAGGAAGACCTTTCTCTCTCTCACTGTCCACTCTGCCTGTAAAAAATAAATAAATAAATAAATAAATAAATAAATAAATAAAAATTACCTCTTCTGAGCCTGAACATTGGGTACCCTCACCTACTTCTGGCCCCTTAGAGATGCTTAAACAGGTAAACCAACATTGCTGTTGCAAACTCGATGGAGTAGGATCACAAAGTGGGGTACTTGTCCTAGTCTGAGGGCTATCTCAGATAATTCACTTTATTTCTCTGAGGTCCACTTGGGCAGCTCTTAAATGGGGGTGAGGCTGGTCCTCGGCCCACAGGGCTGGGATGACATCAGAGGCCCTGTAACCGATGAAAGCTCTGTGGCAGTACTTGGTGCTGTTCTAGGAGTGCAATCGGTGTCTACTAGCTGAGCCTCAGACTGGGGGGGGGGGGTGGTCAGCACCCCTGCTATGGGTCAGTGTCCCGAGGCTCTGAGACTGGGTTCAGCTCCTGGCAAGGCAGGAAGCCAGGGGCCAAACCCAAGCCCAGGCCAAGTTCTGGGCCTCCCAGCTGAGGGCTGAATGCAAACCGCTGTGGTGGCCCAGCGAAGGTCCTCTGATCTTGGCCTTGTTCCAGTGGCTTCTCCATTCACAGGGGTCAGTGTGTGCCCCGGGTACCCTATGACTTTCCCAGCCTGACTCTCCAAGGACGAGGCGACCTCTTTGAAACAAGCCTGAACATTCCCTCTTGCATGCTTCTGGGCTCGCTGGGGAGTGTCAAGCTCAACAAGACTGCGCTTGAAAGAAGAGAAGGCTTCTTGTCCCGGGGCCAGCTGCTTCCCCTAGGGGGACTCTCCACAGTGCAGCTGACACACAGGATAGGGAAACCCCATCCCACCCTACCCGGGTGCCTGTGTTCTTTAATTGCTTCTTCAAGTTTTTATTTTATTTGAAAGGCAGGGAGAGACAGAGAGATCTTCCATCTGGGGGTGGGTTGCTTCCCAAAAGGCCACAACAGCCAGGGCTGGGCCAGGCCAACACGAGGAGCCAGGAGCTCAACTCAGGTCTCCTACAGGGATCAAACTCCTTGGGCCATCACCAGCTGCCTCCCAGGGTCTGCATTAGCAGGAATCTGGAATGTGGAACAGAGCCGGGACTTGAACCCAAGCACTCCCGAATGGCATGTGGGTTTCCCCATCAGTGTCTTACCTTGCACTAAATGCATACCTGCCCCCGCTGTGTTATCCAGAACTGAAGGCGGAGTCTGCTGTGGACAGCAGCTGGGGGCTGGGAAGGGAGTGCCTTACGATAGGTCTTCAACTCTGGTTTGTAGAAGAGCAGCTGAAGAAGCCCTCCTGACTCGTCTCTGGAACGTGGGGAAGAGCAGAGAGGTCTGCTACCCGGGAACAGCTTGGTTCTGTTCTAAGCCTGGATGCCCCAGTTGTGAGAGGAGCAATATAAAGTATTACTGCCTGGGTGGTATTACTTTTCCCTTTAGATGCATTACTTCATTTAATCAAACAGAAGGGGAAATTCATGATCGGAGGAATCCTGAGTTCTCTGCATGGCAAATATATTCTCCCCTCATGAGACAGGGTTGGGGGGGAGAGAGAGAAGAGAAGAGAAGAGAAGGGAAGGGAAGGGAAGGGAAGGGAAGGGAAGGGAAGGGAAGGGAAGGGAAGGGAGGGGAGGGGAGGGGAGGGGAGGGGAGGGGAGGGAAGGAGAGGGGAGGGGAGGGAAGGAGAGGGGAGGGGGGGAGGGGAGGGGAGGGGAGGAAGATAGAGATCTTCCATTCACTGGTTCACTCCCCAAATGCTGACGACAGCCAGGATAGGGCTAGGCTGGAGCCAGGAGCCTGGAACTCCACTTGAAACCCTCTGTGGGTGGCGTGGGCCCAAGCACTTGAGCCATCAACTGCTGCCTCCCAGGATGTGATAGCGTGGAGCTGGAGCAGAAGTGGAGGAGCTGGGACTCAAACCAGCACTTTGCTATGGGATGTGGGTGTTCCACGTGATAGCTTAACCTGCTGTGCCGCAACGCTAGTCCCAGTTTGGTATTTTGTTAAGGATTACTGCATTACTCTTCGTGAGGGGTATTGATCTGTCACTTCCTTTTTGTAGCAGCTGTGTCTGGTTTTGGTATCAGAATAATATTAGCTTCATAAAATGAATTGAGAAGTGTTCTTTCCTTTTCCATTTTCTTGGCGAGATTTGTGTTCATTTTTCTCTAAATGCTTGCTGGATGTCTCCAGTGAAGCCATGTGGACCTGGAGATTTATTTATTGGCAATTTTTTTTTTTTTGACAGGCAGAGTGGACAGTGAGAGAGAGAGACAGAAAGGTCTTCCTTTGCCGTTGGTTCACCCTCCAATGGCCACCGCGGCCGGCGCGCTGCGGCTGGCGCACCACACTGATCCGATGGCAGGAGCCAGGTACTTCTCCTGGTCTCCCATGGGGTGCAGGGCCTAAGTACTTAGGCCATCCTCCACTGCACTCCCTGGCCACAGCAGAGAGCTGGCCTGGAAGAGGGGCAACCGGGACAGAATCCGGCGCCCCGACCGGGACTAGAACCCGGTGTGCCGGCGCCGCAAGGCGGAGGATTAGCCTAGTGAGCCGCGGCGCCCGCCTATTTATTGGTAATTTTAAAATTAAAAATTATATTTTTTAATAGTTATAGGACTATTCGAAGGATCTATTTCTTATCGAGTAACTTATATCCTTTTGTATTTTTGAAAAAGATGGTCCATTTTTCCTAAACTGTTAGGTTAATTTGTATAAAGTTGTTGTAATATTTTCTTATTATGCCTTTGATATTCCATGTTCCGTTCCTGATATTATTAATTTGCATTATCTCTTTTCTTC